GTACTTTGGTTTTATAATCTTTTAATTATATATTGCTGATTTTAGTTTGTTGTAAGCCGCCCAGAGTCCCCCATTGTGGGGAGATGGGCGGGGACAAGTCAAATTAATAATAATAATAATAATATTACAACCCAGCAGTATTACTCTAGATGTATTAAAGTTCTAAACTGTCTTTGAGGTCAGTGCCAGGTAAGAGAGCATTAAAATAATCAAGCCTGAGCATAACCTGAGGAAGTATGGTTCCTTCAAGTAAAATTAAAGTTGCTCATCCAGACAGAGTTGATAAAAATTCTCATAGCCACAAATGCCAGTTGAATTCAGACACAACAGGAGTGCCTCCAAATTGATTTTCTGTTTCTTCAGAGGAAGTATCCATCCAAAAGTCACTTGGATTCAGTTCAATTTGCTAATCCTCATTCATATAAAATAATGTTTTGGCTATTTTGACAACATGTCATAGAGAAGCCTTTCCCATCTATCTACTTAGAACCCTTTTAACTGGGGGTGCTAGAGAGTAGATCTGAGGCCTTCTTGCATGCCAGACACTACCATTAAATTATAGCTTTTATCCTAACATTTGTCATAAGCTTCTTCTGGGATGATTTTCAACTTTCCAATTTAGCTTAAAGCCCTGATATTTACTGAAATCCTTTCAAACAAGTTATAACCAAACTTTGCCCTACTTAGCTTCTGAGCCCAGATGAGGTCAGCCAGAAAGATCTGGTCAAGAGACTAATACAGGTAGTTCTTGTTTAGTGACTGCCTCATCTAGTGATGGTTTGCAGTTACACTGGTGATGAAAAAGTAACTTTACGACCAATCCTTGCATTTATAATTTTCGCAAGTCTGTAAAGCAAAGGAAAGCTGAAGTAAGATCATAAGCATAGTGGCAGTTTTACTTGGCAACTGCTTTGCATAACAACCAAGTTGCTGATCCCAGTTGTGGTCCCTAACCAAGGACTAACTGTATTCATACTTTTTATATAAGAAACAGTGAAGCTAGAAGATATATGATTAGCAAGATTAGCTAAATGAAAGATTAGCAAGTGACTAGCATCTCTGGTTATATCTGAATATTTTTAATATTCAGTTCAATTTGCGGTTGACATATTTATTTCAGATCACTCACAGATCTAGAATTCTATCCCATTCTACCCATCACAATATTTAGGCTGTCGATAAGTGTTAGGATCCATTCTTTCCTCCTTAAACTTCTTTGTTCAACTGCAGTGCATTGACCACTATTGCATATTGGTCTATTCATTAACTGACTTTATTTTTATCTGAATAACTTTGAAGCAATCTCTTCTTCCCTCCCTCACCCCCAATCCTTAGGCAGGATAAAACCTCTATTATTCTTGTTGTTTGGCTTGCTTTGGAATTTCTTTCAGGACAATGAAATACATTTCTTTATTGGGAGGGGACACTGAATAAGTACTCCAAAATGATCAACCTATTCATGAGGTGTGCAACCTCTTTAAGAACAGGTTTATCTTGAGATCCAAATCTGTTTTGTTTATATTAGTGTAATAAAAATCTAATCAAGTATACCACTGAATTCTGGCTATCAAGTCATTGGTGCAGTATCACTCTCTTGCTTTTACTTAGGGAGGAAAAAACCCTACATACTCTTGTAAATTCAGGTCATTTTGTCTGAATGCAATCATAATCTCTTTGCTAAAATTGCAGAAAATAAACTCAGTTCCAGTGCTTTTTGCCAACATGAAAAGAACCTGAACATGGCAACACTAAAGGCAAACATAAATTTAACTGCTGTGATAATACAAAAATCACAATTCCAGAACTCTGAAATTATCTTATTGAATCCTGTCTCCTATTACAGGTAGTCCTCATTTGGCAACCACAATTGAGACTGGCAACTCAGTCATTAAGTGAAGTGGTTGCTAAGTGAAACCAGACCTGTGCTTATGATCTTACTTAGCTTTCCTTTGCTTTACAGACCTGTGAAGGTCGTAAATGCGAGGATTGGTTGTAAAGTTACTTTTTCATCACCATCGTAACTGTAAGTGGTTGCTAAATGAGGCAGTTGCTAAACGAGGACTGCCTGTATTGATTTAGATGCCCTAGTGTTTTGGATGTTTGTGACAACTGTTACCATCAGTGTCATGAACAATCCCAGAAAATCAAGAAACCTAGAAAGTGTTTTGTAGAGGCAGAATGTTCCATATGTGTCTTTTGTTTTCTCTTGGGCATTTGGCTCATCTGCTGGAGGCTGGCAAAATAAACAGCAGGATGAACTAAGAAGTATGGGAAAAATGCACAGTAGGAGCAAATCAACAATAGAACTAATTAGTAAGAAGGTAGGGTTATTTTTCCTAGATGTGTTCTAACAGAATGGTCAGCCATTTGTCACACATACTTTAATTTGAATTCTTGCAGTAAGTAGGAAGTCAAACTTTACACAAGATAAATTTCCCTTTCCCCACATTATTTAAATATATACATACATGCACACACCCAACTGTGTGTATTATAAAGATATAGGAACATTAAAGGTTGAAATACATTGTCTTCAGCATGCTCATCCTTTTATAGCTTCTTTACTTAAAAATATGACAGTATGAAATGACTGCTGTGAAGCAGAGAAAGAGGCATGAAGAAGTTTTTCTTTATTACTCTTTTAAGTAAACAGTGTTTACTTCTTACAATGATACAGGAAGGTTAATTATATCAGACTTGCTCCTAGGCAAGTTGGTACTGCCCTGATTGTAAATTATAGCCTCTAGCATATCTTTCCATTAATTTCTTATGCAAGAGCAGTGTTCCCATTAGATATCCGCCTGACATATGGAGGCTTTAAAACATGATATTGCCTGAACAATTGAGCAACATTAGATAACTGATGCAATTTGCATTAATTTTCTAGGCTTTGGCCTTATAAAACCATCAAGTGTGCTAGCTGTTATGTCTTCTATGTACCTGAGTGAGGGCATGGAATAGAGGTAGGGGGAGCAGAATATAGGTCCATAGCAATAAAGGCATTCAGCTGGGTCAGAGAACAAACTGAAAAGTGCCCTCTCTCCTATGATGCAGTTATATAAATACAGATAGTCCTTGTTTAGCAATCACAATTGGGACTGGCAACTTGGTCATTAAGCAAAGC